GGCGGCGGCAGCGGCGGCGGCCCCGGGAGCGACCCCGGCGGCGGCGGCGGGAGAGGTGAGCGGGGCCGGCCGGGGCGGGGCCGGGGCGGGGCCGCGGTAACAATCGGCGGGGTCACGGCGGGGTCCGGGCCCCGCGGCCCCTCCCCCAGCCGCGCAGACCAGCCCCCCCGAGCCCCCGAGAGGTGACGTGAGTGTCAGGCCCGAGGTGGGAGCCCGGGCTTCCCTACTTGGCTCCAGCAACGTCCCCACGGCCTGGCCCTGGGTAAGTCGGGGCCCAGGGCCTCAGTTTCCCCGCCTGTCCGAGGAAGGCCCCTCCTTCCCACCGCCCAGCCCGACATCCGCGATCCTGTGGATGGAAGGTCCGGGGGCTCACGAACCTTGGATGCCGGCGGTTTGCCGGGGCTGGGAGGGGCCGCCCTCCGGTGTGAGCCCATCCTTTGACAGATGAGGAAACTGAGGCCGGGAGGGGAAGCGATCGATCAGCAAGCCTGGCCTTGGCCCACTGTGGGGGCTTAATAAGGCTCTGAACCCATCGACACTTACTAAGTGCCTACTAAGTGCCTAGGCGTGGGGGAGGGGGTGTAGGAGGCGGAGGATAGGACAGACAAGACTATTATTATAAATGTATTAAAAGCGAATATTACAATAAAATCCAGAGATGCAAAGACAAAAACTAAGTCATCTCTGCCCCCATGGAGTTGAGGATCACACATTTTCCCCGCCCTCCTCATACTTAATACAATCCCTCTGTCTGATTATCTCCAACTTCTCCTGTACCCAGTTGTGGGCATATTTGCTCCCCCACTAGACTGTAAGCTCCCCGAGGGCAGGGACTATATCTGACTTTGCATCCCCAGGGCTTAGGCATGGTACCTGGCACACACTGGTGCTTAATAAATGCATAGCATCTAGAGCAGAGAGAAGCCTCAGAGGTCATTTCATCTACCCCTCCCGTTTTTCAGATCAGGAGGCTGAGGTTCAGAGAGTGGAACAGGTAGAAGTAATTGGAGGTGAGATTTGGACCCTGCCTGTTCACTTCTGAGCCTCTGCTTTTTTGTGGAACTCTCTGACTTAACCAAGGTCTTTGGAGTAGTAGGGGTCAGAGATGGGATTTGTATGGACCTGGTTCTCATTTTTCAGGTTAAGAAACTGAACAGAAGTGATTTGCCCGTGATCACACAACTAGTAAAGTAGCAGAGTCTGGATTTGAATACTGGTCTTTAGTGTATAGGTGAGGAAACTGAGACTCAAAGAGAAAGTGTTATTTGCCTGTGGTGGCACAGCCAGTAAAATGTCTGAGGCTACTGACTAACTACAGGACAAGCAATCCTCAAAGTTTTTGGTCACAGGAAACCTTTACAGCGAGAAATTGGGAACTCCAAAGGGCTTTTGTTTATGTGGGTTGTATCTCTCAATATTTACTGTATTAGAAATTTAAATGAATAAACTTTTAAAAATATGTATTAATTCACATAAAATAATAAACACATTTTCTATTAAAGTCATATTTGTGAAAAATAGCAGTTTTCCAAAACAAAAAAAAAAGTGGCATTAGTACTCTTTTACATGTTTTTGCAGCCCTCTTTTAATGTCTGACCTAAGAGAAGACAGTTGGATTCTCCTATCTCTTTCTGCATTTAATCTGTTGTTTTAATTTGAAGTGTATGAAGAAAATCTAGCTTTACACAGATATGTAGTTAGTATTTTAATAAGCAAATGTCTTGATATTGTTATGAAAATAGTTTTGGCCTCTCTGCCCTCTGAAAGGCTGTTAAGGACCTTCCCAAGATCATGGAGCCCACCTGATAACCGCTGTCCTTGGCCAAGAGTTTTTAGCATCCCAGAGCTTAGCCCAGAGAATCCTAGATTGAGAGCTGGAAGGAACTGAGAAGTGCTGACCCTCTCACTTTATGGATGAGGAAGCGGAGGCCCAGAGGGGGCGGGGTAAACCTTGAGGTCCAGATATACCAAGTGGCAGGGGCAGACTAGAACTCAGATCCTCTGAATCCACCATTCTTTCCACTGGACCCCAAGGAGGTGGTCAATCTCTGTGTTGAATGGAACAGAATCAGTTGGTCTGACTCTGTTTCTAAGAGGTGGAAAGTGAGGGAGGAAAGTACTTGCCCAAGGTGGAGCCTTTTACAGGTCAGGAGGAGCAGAGCCCCGATTCAGCAAATCCAGTGGCGTGGGGGCTGTGGCCTGTCCCAGCAGCAACTGAGGATTCCTTATGTTCTTCACTCTGCTTCTTCCATCCTCCTTGAGCCTCCCCCCCCCCAAAAAAGGCTTCTTAAAACACCATCAGCCCAGCACCCTTCACAGCCTCTGCCTGAGCCTGAGGAGGGCCCTGGCAGGTTCAGCCTGGTCAGCTCCCCTGACCCTTACCCTCCTTCTGGTGTCCCTCTCAGCTGCCTCAGAAGGAGAGATCCAAAGCCTCTTGGACTCTCTTATGCTTTCAGAGCCTCAGAGAAGGGTAAATGGGGGTGATTTCAGGGTCTGGTCAGTGCATCAAGTGGGTGCCTGTTGTGTGCCGGGTGCTGCTGGGGTCAGAGGGTGTTAAAGTTAAACACTGCGCTCAGACTTTGGATGTAAGGGAAGAAAAAAGACCTGGCCCCTCCTCCAGACAACTTCAGTGAGATTCCTCCTGCAGGTCATCGAAGCAGGAGCAGGCTGCTGTTGAGGGGTGTGTGTGCCTTTAATAAAATTTGGGGACTGGAAGGATTAGTGTGACAGGAGCCTTAGAAGTGGTCCCCACTGAGTAGCCCATTTTTTGCGGTGAGATGGGGGGCATCAGCCTTAGAGCTAGAATGGACCGGATAGGCCATCCACTTGACTCTTTGATTTCATGGATGAAAAAGCAGACCTGAGAGAAGGGACTGCCCTGGAGCCGTCATTCACACTCAGGGCTCTTCCACCAGCCTCCTGAGCATCCTGGGGCTTTTGTTCACGTCCGGCCTCCATGTGCATGAACCTAAAGCTCTCAAGTCACCCCCACCACTCAGGGAAGCCAGATAAATTTTAATATTTGCATAAAGAAAGCAAAAGGGCAATCTGCTATAGAAATCACAATTATTAAAGTCTTCCTTATGACTTTGGTTTCCTGCGAACAATCTGATAGTGACAAGATCATAGGGTTGGGAGTCAGGAGGTCTGGGTTTCATGGTCCCATTTGTGCTACCAACTGCAGCACCTTTTGGGCCTTCGTTATTTCGTGAGTGAAATGAAGGGATTGGATTCTGCTGGTTTGTCTGTAAGGCTCCTTCCAGACAGTAGAGCTTTGCCTCTATTTGCATGTACCTGGCATTTGCATGTATTGATCCATATGTAGGCTGCATTCTGCCTTCCCACACCCTCCATTCCCATCCGACTTTGAGAAACCATAATCAGTTTTCTTTTTTAGTGTACAACTATAGATTCCTTTCAGAGTTCCCATTTTAGGGGCAAAACTCGTACTCAGACTAGTTATCATCAAGGCTCGCTGAGTTCAGGAGTTGTGGTCTGTACTGTCTCACTTGGTGATCTCTGCTCCCATGTGTTCAGACAGTGTCTCTGCAGGCGATTCCTCAGTCTGCATATTTAACCCCAGCCTCTCTTGAGTACAGTCACAGCACACTGTCTTGGACATCTTTTTTTTTTTGCTTTTTGGTGAGGCAGCTGGGGTTAAGTGACTTGCCCAGGGTCACACAGCTAGTAAGTGTCGTGTCTGAGGCTGGATTTGAACTCAGGTTCTCCTGACTCCAAGGCTGGAGCTCTATCTACTGCGTCACCTAGCTGCCCCTCTCTTGGACATCTTGAACTCGATGTTCTTTGGGCTTCTCAAACTCGACATGTCCCAAATGGAGCTCATCTTCTTACTAAACTTTACTATACCAACAGGACCTTTTGTAAGAGCCCTTTCTCAGGGTCTCCCCCCTTCCCCCCATATGCTTTCAGATTATCTTCATCTACTCTGGTTCTATCTTATTTATACCTGGTTATTTACATGTTGCCTTTCTCATTAGAGTGTATACTCCTTGAGGACAAGGATTTTTTTCAGGGAAGGGGAAGGGAAGCTTGCCTTTCTTTGTATCCCTAGAAATAGCGCAGTGCCTCACACATAGTCCGGGCTTACTAAATGTTTGTTCATAGATTGGTCTTGGCATTATATTTGAGACTTGAGAAAAGTCTTCAATACTAGATTTAATTATTTGATTATGTATTAATATTTATTTTTTAATACATACACACATATATGCATACATACTATATACACATTATTGCTTTGAGTATTTCAAGGAACTGTGATCTCATTGCCTTGGGAACTACCTCAGTTGACATGAATCATAAGTCCCCCCCCCCCCCCCCCCCCCCCTTTTTTTGTGCCTGTGCAGGATGTGTTTGTGAGTTGCAAAGGCTAACTTTCTAGTCATGAATCTCCTTGAACTTAGGCTGAACTTCAGAGGCAGATACAATTTGCTAAGCTTAATATTTGAGATTTGAGAGATAATACCCTGGGAGCTGGTCATTTATACCGTCTTTCTTGAGTTTCTAGATATTCAAATTATTTCTGTTCTGGTATTCTACTTAATCTCTTTGTGGTGCGTGGGTCATATATACCATCTTTACCTATATTAATTTTTCTTTCTAGTGCCTTTGGTTTTGCCCTAGACAGCTCGGAGAGCTTGACACTTGGACAGAATGTTTTGGAAGAGACAGACTCCTTTCCCTAAACTGACCCTGGGGTGGGTGTCCTGTAAGAAATGAAATGGAAAGCTTGGCATGTAGGCAGAGAAATGAAGTTGGTAGGTGATATAATGATACATCTATCTGTACCTGCAAGCACACATACATACAAATATAAGCACATGCATGCACACATACATGTGTGATATTGTTTATATTTACATTCTTCTTTATAGAGTGACTAAATTTCAGATTGTGCAAACTATACTGCTGAAGGTCACATTGTGCCCTTTGTTGGTTTGTTCATAGGATAGCCAAATACACTGTGGTTTGATTTGGTTTGTGTTGATATCAGTTCACTTTCAGCATCCTTTGGAAAAAATTGAGCATGCAATTCAGGCAACTAGAAACTACTTTTAAGCATTGCTGTACCAGGACAGAATGACCTTTGTTTTATCCAGGTTTGCTGGATTATCCTTTGTTTATGTGACAGGCTGTTGCTTTCATTTCCAGGGTATAAGTCCCTGTTCTGGTAGGAGGGACTGGATTCTTTTTGGCAGATCTCTTGTAATTGTGGTCTTAGCAGTCTTCCATACTGGGCTCAAACAGGTGTTTGTCAGTGTTGGCATTGCATGAGCTCCCCGATCTATTCTGCTGGTATAGCGAGCTCCCTGTGCTACCCAAGCAGGATCTGATCTGAAGTCACTCCATGGAGTATGAGAATAGCTGCAGAACAGTCTCGTTGGAGGTGAGATGCCTGCCTGGGCTGGGGGGAAACTGGAAGTAGAAATGGCAACAAAGAATTCACCCAGTGGGAACTTTCAGTTTTCTTTGGATTCCTTATTGGAGGCATGCTATTTTCTGAATCCAAACATTAAAGGAGTGAAAGGAAGCTTGGAGAGCTTGTCTGATGGCTTCCTTTTAAAGATGAGAAAACTGAGTCCTGGAGAGGAAAAGCAGCTTCTCCAAGGTAAGATTAGGAATCAGTGGCACAGCCAAGCCTCGAACCCATTAAGGATTATTTTGAAAAAACACATAGTAAGAAATAAATTCAGCTCACATGAAGATACCGAGTTAAGAATCACTGCATGTGGTGAGAAGACCGATACCTAATTAAACAGGTATTTAGTACTTGTGGATGCTAGTCACTGTGGAAGGTAAAACCCTCCAGGAGACTGAGGAAAGAGACAAGCAGAACCATGACCCAAGTTGGAAAGGGGTGAGTGTGTGTAAGAGAAATAAGAACAAAGCCCCGGCAGAGTCTGAGGACAGAAGGAACCCTTCTGAAATAGAGATGGCTTCTGGAAGGAGTTGGCTTGTGGAGGGTGGGTAGGATTCAACACAGAAGGCCTAGAGAACTATCTTGAGCAGAAGCACAGAGATAGAAAAGGACCATGGAGTTGAGGAATGGTGAATAGTCACTTTTGGCTGAAACGGTGGGTTCTGTGATGGAGAGTGGTGGGGGAAAAAGGCTGAAAGAGTTGGTTTGGGTTCAGTTTCGGAGTTTTGAATGCCAGACTCTAGGAGTTTGGCTATACATGGGGAAGCCATTGAATGTTTTTGAGCAGTAGAAGGTCTTGATCAGAACTCAGCATTAGAAAGGAAGGGCTGAAGGTCGGGAGACTAGGTAGGAGATTACTGCAGTCTTTGAGGCCAAGGTAACAAGGGTCTGAACTAGGTCAGTAGCAGTGGGAAGAAAAGCAGCTGGAAGTGTTTTGGAGGACAAAACATCCCTCCAGGATTTGATGAGTGCCTGTATTTAGGGGTCCTACAGGGAATCGGTGTTCCAGGGCTGGAATCCCTAGAATTGCCTCACTTCTAATCCAGTATCATTTTTATTATACCACATCTCCTTTGGCTTCCACCCTTGAACTTGAAAGACGGAGAGGGAACCCACAGGAATTGGGAGTACTGCCTCTTCTACAAAGCTTTTCTTGATCTCCCTATTATTAGGCCTCCCTCCCAAATATTACTTCGTATTTAGTTATTTGTGGATATGGTACGTTCTTTGAGGGCAGGGACTGTTTTTGATTTGGAGGTTTTGACTCCAGCAAATGAATGGGAGAATGTGGTGCCATTAATAAAAATTAGAAAACCAGGAGGGAAGCACAGGTTGGTAGAGAAGATGATTTCAGTTTTGGACAAGGTTGAACTTATGGGGTGGGGGAAGACTGAGTAAGTCTGTGGAATTTTTAGGAAGGGTGTTGAGCAGGCATGTGAGATGGGCAGCTATGGGAGATTTTTGGTTAAGTAATGACTAGATGGAATTGGTATTTTGGGAGGATTAACCAAGGAAAGGAGGGCATTTGGATCCCCAGGAGAACCTGGGAGCGGGAGAGCAGTTGGGTTACTGTTGTTGTCAGAGGGTGAGGGTCTCTGAGGAACTGGATTGTACAGACATCAGAAAGAAAGACGGAGGAGGCACTTTGGAGGAAGGAGTAGGAGTTTGTGGATGATGAGCTACAGAGGAGGCAGAGGAAGAGAAAAGAGTCCATAGTGCATGGACACCTGGGAGATGATGATGCCAGTGAGTGTGGGAAGGGAATTGGGAGGGGGGGGGTACTGAATGAGTGAACTTGTCAGAGTAATGGACTTAGGAAGTAAAATATTGGTATTGAATGGCCTGTTAATGAGTTCTGGAGCTCATTCATAATTCATGTTTGTGTTTTTAATAGATGAGCAACACCAGTAATAAGAGAGCACCGACCACAGCAACCCAGAGGCTTAAACAAGACTACCTTCGAATTAAAAAAGACCCAGTGCCTTATATTTGTGCTGAACCCCTCCCTTCGAATATTCTGGAATGGTAAGGCTGTGCTTTGTTTTACTTTCATCCGAATATAAAAAACTTAGCAGGAAGGCTGGCCTTCCTTGTCTTTTGTCCCTGTTTATTGTCTTCGGCTTTTTTTCTTCTAATATCTGAAGACCCCTAGTAGATGAATGCATACAGGTATTGAACACTTGTGGGGTGTATGTGTGGGGCAGTATGAAGTTCTCCTAAACTATGGTCTTATAGCTTAAGACCCAAGTATAAATCCTTATGTTAGTATAGAAGTAACGGATTTTAGATTTGTTGGTGCCCAGGCAGAAATGTCGATGAGAAAATATTCAGAACGATTATTAGAATTTTCTGCTTTGAAAGCAGTATCTTACTTTATTACTGCTCATGGCATTCTTGGGAAGTCTGGTTTTTTGGTCCCAATTTTCCAGCTGAGGGGAGGGAAATAGAGGGGAAAGAGTCATAGGGCATTGACCCTTAGATTCAGTCTCCTCATTTTATAGACGAATAAATGGGCAGCTCAGAGTTTTATAGACGAATAAATGGGCAGCTCAGAGGGCTAACGGGACTTGATCACAGCCATGGGGCTAATGGTGGCGGCCTGGGCCTGGCTTCTTTCCCATCATGCCCTGCTGCCTCTCACGTGAGTCTGGGCTGGAGGAGCCCGTGAAACCACTGTCTCCAGAGGAGCCATTTCTAGGAATTGACTCCTCAGCAGAGGCCTGAGCCCTCCTGCGTCCAAGCCACATGAATTTTTTTTAACTTTCTATTTTGTGCATGTGATGCTACATGGGTTGACGGTGTCCCCTGCATTTTTGCTTAAAAGGGGCAGTTTGTTCCTCTTTCCATAACATATTTTTGCTGTAATTGACCTCTTTCTCCTTCACTGTACCAAGTTGATTGATTTTTCTCCCCCAAGGTAGCCGTATTACTTCTAGATTAGTTGCAAATGATAGAAGTCCTCAGTCAGATTGGCTGAAATGTGGTTAGGGGCCATTTGATTGTGTAGAACCAATGGGGGAGAGATGGTTATTGTATTTTTCAGGCTTTTGGCTTACTGTGGAGACATATTAACCAGTTTGTAGCCTAATGGGAAAAGCATGTGGGTGTATCCACGTTAGGGGGGAAAGAACATAAACATTCTGGCCACAGTTTTGTTTCATCTTTTCAAAGTGTTATCATCTTAAAGTGATTTCAGCATCTCTCATTTCAACATCTCTTGCACTGAGGAATTTTTAGACTGAAATAGTCGTTGGAATTGGATTTTATTATAACTATGGGTTGTCCAAGAACAAAACCTAATAATTTTTTTAACATGGAACATATATTTATGTATAACATATAATAATTTTATTTGACATAGAAAGGTCAACACTTTGGTGGAGACTTAGAAGCAGTGACTGAAGAACTGTCAACTTTTTATGTGCTGAAATTCACTTATTTATTTGTAAGTTGGTTGTTAACTTTAGAGTAAGTTACATAAAGCAGCAGTAGCACTACAGAGAGAGCTTCAGTTGGACAATATATTATTTGGGTGCTTGGACTCTGCCCCTTAGAACTACTATAATGAAGAGCATATAGTAGGTAGACTTTGGTGGGGGTGGGGGGCTTTAGATTATTTAGGCCAATGTCTGGCATGGAGTAGGCACTTAATAAATATATATTGAATTGAATTTGTTATTGAATTTATTTTTAAGTCTTTTATATGTTCGGGAAAATGTTTTACCTTGTGGCATGAGATCCAAGACAGATTTTTTGGAAGCGGCATCTTCACCTTCCTTAATCAGAAGGAAGCTCCGTTGGTGTTTGCCTGTTGCACGCACACCCACGTGGGATGCAGGGACTCTCCAGGCCTGTCTGATGGCTAAGCCTGGGGCTGCTTTGGGCAGCCTTGACCTGGGCACACTCTGATGTTTGTCCTTCATTTCCCATAGGCACTATGTTGTCCGGGGACCTGAGATGACTCCTTATGAAGGTAAGCAAGGCCAGTCCAGGCCACGGGAGGAGTCACTCCAAGGAGGATGCGCTTGCCAAGTATCCTTTCTGTGGCAAGCCCATGCCCCCTGTTAAGTTGCAGCTTAAGGAAACTTGGTACAGATCTTCACTGACTCCTCCTAAAATCTCCAAGTTCTAAAGATACTTAAAGTTCTGGTTTTTTTTTTAATTAGACATACTTTTACTCAGCTTTTAAAAATATTTGGAGTTTAAGTAAAGTCATTAGGATCTTGGCGGTATGAGATCCTTAGAGGTGAGCTGCTGTCCAACTTCCCACTGTCTGTAGGAGAGCGTCAGCAGCATTCCTGATATCCACCCTCTCTGCTGGAATACCCAGGGATGGGAGCTCACTGTCTTACAAAGTTTGACTTATTTAACCTTTGTTAGTTTTTCCTTGGATTGAGGTTGCTTAACCAGTCTGCTGAGCTAGCTTAGGTGAGTGGGCTAAAGCTTAGGCAGAATCTGCTAGCCTTTTTTGTGAGCATGGTAGGCCTGTGGGAAGAGCCCCCCCCATGTTGGCCAGGTTGTTAGGAACAACGTTTTGACAATTAGAGCCGTCTCACTGCTGCCTTGGAAGATGGCTGGCTTCCTCTCACTAGAGGTCTTTAAGTGGAGGCTAAAGGAATGAATGGATGTGTAGGTCAGCTTAGAGGGGATTCGTGCTCTGGTGATGCCTGGCCTCTGAGATCTTGGCCAATTCTTCTCAGTCCTGTGAAATCCTAGAGACACTGGACCCAGATTGCCCTGCCCTGAGGTCCTTAGGAGCCCGTCTAAGCCAGAGTAGCATTTTCAGGCATCAGAGTAACTTACCATGGAGGCATTAATAGATCTGTTACCACATATGACATGGAGCACTTAACTCTCTGTGTGGTCCTGGCCAGGACATGTTGGTGTGTGGGGGCAGACGCTGCCCCCAAAGAGTTTGCCTTCTTTTGAGGTGTTAGGGGAAGGTCAACAAAGATTATCAGATGAACCATCAAGAAACTCTTCCAGAGAGCATATAATTGTTACATTGTGTGTATATGTTGAAAGCATTACAGAGCTCAGGGCACAAGGAAATAGAGAGGGTTGGGGTGACAGGTGAAACTTCATTCTGCAGTTGGAGCTTGGAGAGGATGAGTCGGGATTGGATTGGTGGGTGGGAGGCAGGGCAGGAGATGTTCTTGCTGCATGTGGGGTGACAGAATGAGCAAAGGCAGAGCTGAGGGCACCTGCTGGAGCCCAGTGGGACGGGTCTCGGGGTTGGGGCACTCTGGGCAGTGTAGGGGGGGAGTGGTTTGGAAGGCTTTGGGGGCAGCCTGTGATTGGGGGCGTGTATTTCATTACTGGGGAATACATTGCCAAAATCCGGCCAAATGAGCTGAATGTAGTTGAATGACTTTTGTAAGCAGACGTAATAAGGAATAAAGTAAATCTCTCCCTTGGTGTCTTCAGCAGCCTTGTTTGGTTTGTGGAGGTGGTCATGCTTTAATAATTGGTAATATTTATAGAATGCTCACGATGTGCCAGGCACCGTGCTAAGTGTTTTACAATTATCTCATTTGATCTTCACAACAGCCCTGGGATGCAGGTGCTATTATTATCTCATTTTACTGATGAGGAAACTGAGGCAGACAGAGGTGAAGTGACTTGCCTAGGGTCACTCTGCTTGTAGGTGTCTGAGGCCAGATTTGAACTGAAGTCTTCCTGGCTCCAGGCCTGGTGCCACTTAGCCATTCTAGTTGTTGTGAGTTTGTCTATGTTGTGAAATAGACATTTCTGGGTAATTAGATTGAGGTCCTGACCAGTGGGCTCAGTCTGCATTTGGGGAAGGTTTAAAAATGATGATTGTTGGGGCAGCTAGGTGGTGCGGTGGATAGAACACCGACCCTGGAGTCAGGAGGACCTGAGTTCAAATCTGGCCTCAGACACTTAACACTCACCAGCTGTGTGACTCTGGGCAAGTCACTTAACCCCAATTGCCTCACTTAAACAAAAAAATGATGATTATTTTTCACATTTTATTTGTAACAGGTCTGTCTTTGTAAATGTTCCAAGGAAATTTCCCAGAGTACTTAAGAAGTTATTTTTGACTTTCTTCTGTTTTGATATAGGTGGCTATTACCATGGAAAACTAATTTTCCCCAGAGAATTTCCTTTTAAACCTCCTAGTATTTATATGATAACTCCCAATGGAAGATTTAAATGTAATACAAGGTAAGACCTTTCCCTTGTCCCACCTGTTGTTGTTTCTACAGTTGTTATTTTTGGAAGTCATGCAGGGGGCATTGTGTGTACATTCTATAAAGAGGTGCCTTCCTCCCCCCTCCCCTTTTTTTTTGTTTTTTTTGGCAGGTTATGTCTTTCAATCACTGATTTCCACCCTGATACATGGAATCCAGCTTGGTCAGTCTCAACAATCTTGACGGGTCTGCTCAGCTTTATGGTGGAAAAAGGCCCCACATTGGGCAGCATAGAAACTTCAGACTACACAGTGAGTCTTTAGGAACATCTCACTTATGGGGTGTTCTAGAGGGAAAATGGGGCTCGTGAACCAGCAGTGTCCACAGTGCCTAATAGCCACCTATATCAAAACAGTCCACAGCGCTCAGCCTGAGGAGACAAAGAAAATGACAATCCTTTCAGTCAGCATAATTTAATCTGGTGGTTGCCCATCTCACCCGACGTCCTTCACTCTCTGGAGGACTCCCATCTGCAACATCATTGTTGTCTACCCGCCATTGGAGGCTTGGTTCTAGCTGTGGGGTTAGGGAAAGCTTCACTAATGGCTTGCCACTTGAGCTGGGCCTGAGCCATGGGGAAGGTGGTCTGGAGGCAGAGATTTCTTTGGTGTGGGCACAGGAATCCTTCCAGGGCATGGGGGCGATATGTGCAAGGACGCAGAGCTGAAGAGCAGCAGAACTGAGAAGGCCATTCACCTGGACCATAGAACATTAAGAAGGGAATTCCTTGGAGTGAAGAAAGTCCAGGGGATTGGAGTAGATTGTGAGAGGTTGTTCGGTGTTACCAGAGTCAGGGCCCTGGTTCGTCCCCAGGGAATCCTGTGGTAATTCTCTTAACTGTTTGTGGCACCCTATCCCTTTTGGAGAAAAAAACAGTGTTTGTCAGAGGGCCACCGGGCAGTGATTCCAGATGGCTGAATCAGAAATAGACCCTCCCCATGTCGATTTCTGTGTACCTAGAGAAAACTAAGAGGTCATCCTCCCCATTCCCCTGTCCCTCCGCAAGATAGACAATAACCCCTGCTGAAGACATCTCTTGCTTTCCCTTGTCAAGGGAAGGCTCCCTAGCCGAATGAGTGCCACGTTTTTGGGTCTGACCCTCCCTAGCCATGAAGATCCATATTTCTACCCTAAGGCCTGTCTGCTTTAGTTTAGCATATTCTCCTTATTGTTTGCTCTTTGGGGGTGGGAAAATTGGGTCACCCTCATCTTTTGTAGCTTTTGCTGAGCTAGTAGATGAGAGGTGAGCACCCTGGGAGTCCTTGAGGACTTCGGGCTGGGTTGGAATGAGACAAGAAATGCTGGGCCCTGGCCTTGGGCTGGTCAGCCTTGTGTTGGGGAACGAGGGATGGCTGGATTGTCATGGCTGCTTTGCTTGGGTCTTTCCTGTTGTGTGTCACAGTGCCTGCCTTCATTTCTGCCGTGAATGAACTGGGAATCCATTGGGCCAAAATGAGGAGGGGTTAATATCTGTGAAGGGAATGAAAAAAAGTCTGGGGCTGAAGAGTGACAAAGTGGGTTAGTTACAGGGAGACAGATGACCCGGATGTCAGCGGGCACTGTTATCGCCGTGGTAACTTTGAGTACCATCGAGGTGCTAACTTTGGGCTGAAAAATAGTCTCTTTGGAGCATTTTAAAGTTATCATGTGGGTGAAATTGTATTCTCAAGCTAATGTTTCTCTTTCTTGGCAGAAAAGGCAACTTGCTGCGCAGAGTTTGGCATTTAACGTGAAAGACAAAGTATTTTGTGAATTGTTTCCTGAGGTGGTGGAGGTGAGTACTCCTTAAAAAAGGAGAGAGGGTTGGGAATCGGTTTCATTCCTTTAGGGGGCAGGCAGGGAGGAAGAGGGTGTGTGCTGTGGCAAAGTCAGCAGCCTGGCCCGGGGGAAGGCGGGGGGGAAGCCCTGGACCTGAGGATTAAGAACAGCCTGCCATGTGCTTGGGAGCCTCTTAGAATGGCTTGGTTCTGTACTCCCTTCACCAGTTCATTTGATTTTCTCTCCTCTGGTTCAAGGGATGTACCTGTAGGGCAGGCAGTGACAGTGACAGTAGTGGCTTCTAAGAAGCAGAGAGACAGAGAGAGAGACCATATATGGTGGCCCACAGTCAGGAAAGTCAATAAACATTTACTGAGTGCCTCCTGGGTGCCAGGCACTGTGCTAAGTGCTGAGGATGCCAGTGCCTGCCCTCAAGGAGTTTACAATCTAATGGAGAAGGGCAATGTAAGGGCGGGGGAGGAGAGAGAGATACTTGGAGTGGGGGGGGGGGGGGGGGGGGGCTATCCCAGGGCTGGGCAGCCCAGAGGGGAAGTGGGCTGGGCAGGCGGGGTACAAGGGAGGGGCTAGTCCTGAGGCTCTGGAAGAAGAGGGCACGGTAGGGGGATGACATGGGGGATGACAGTCTTCCTAGCGAACTGTGCCTCTGCTTGCGATAGTTATTTCTTTCTTTGTGGCTGGCTTTTCCTAGGAGATAAAACAAAAACAGAAAGCACAAGATGAACTCAGTAGCCGACCCCAGCCCCTCCCATTGCCAGATGTGGTCCCTGACGGGGACACTCACCACGGTCAGAATGGGCTTCAGCTTCTAAACGGGCACGTGCCGATGGCTGGCCCCAACCACGTGGGCCTGCAGCAGGCCAACCGCAACCACGGACTCTTGGGAGGCGCTCTGGCCAACCTGTTTGTCATAGTCGGCTTTGCCGCCTTTGCCTACACAGTCAAGTACGTCCTAAGAAGCATAGCCCAGGAATGAGCCGCACGCCGGGATTCCAAGACCTTGGTCGGAGCGAAACGAGTGAGACTCTGGGCAGCGGAGCATGACCCTGGGACAGATGACAACCAAGCTGGGTCTGGTCCTGCTGGGCTCCTGGGGTTTAGTTTTGGAAGCCTTTACAAAACACAAACAAAGCCAGATCCCAGAGCGGGCGCAGCTGGGATCTGAGAAATATGTGAGAGTCTTGAATTCCTGTCTTCTTAACCTCCCTGTGTGTCTGTGGCTGTAGAGCAACTCAGCGCTGTGGATGAGAAGCCGGCGCCCTTAACGCTCGGTCTCTTAGCACCGGCCCCTATTCAGTTTGTTGGACCTGTTTGAAGTAAACACGTTTTTCGTTTTACATAATTCGGTCGATGCCTAGCCCTTGTTGTACGTACTGTTTTTAGTTTAGGTGAAGGACTCTGATCTGGAATGAGACAGAAGTGGCCAGTATCAAACTTGGGAGGGTGGCCTGGGGGGCTCACTGGACTGCCCTGCAGGAGCCTGAATGCTCCCCATTTCACGGCTGATCTTCAGCCATGCTTTGTGTTGGCTAATTGGTTTTTTGGTTTTTGTTTTTTGTCAAAATGGATGTCTTAATAAGGCTTAGGAGGAACTCTTAGGAGTTCAGGTAGCCAGTCACCTGTTAGATGCTTCTGCTGGCCAGTGACAAACTTTTAGACTAATCCAGGGCCATCATCGATTTATCTCAGCATTTTTAGTCTATGTTCACTTAGAATGACAAAAGAAATGACTTTTAGGAAGGGGTTTTTTCCTTCTATACCACCCTCCCCTCTCTCAAAAACGTGAAATTAAGATTCTGTTTTGCTTTCTGATCGCAAGATGTCATTGTTTACTTAAATAAATCTGCAGAGAAACTGACAGGCTGCTCAGAACGTGTTGCATTTGTCACAGATTCCTCCGGAGTACTTGTAGTGGAGAACTTGTAGTGGAGAAAAGCGATAGTTGCTGTCTGGTGGTGTCTCTAGGGCGGGGAGGGGCAGAGGAGATGAATTCTGGACCAGCTCACGCCCACACAAGGGTCTCCTCCTGCCTCAGCTGCCATGTCCATCACTGTTGAGCTGCTTTCTCCCTTCAGGCAATTGGCAAAGCCCACCTGTTACCACATGGCCCCCTGCAGGTATCTCTCCTTGATTCAGGTAGCCCTCAGACATCAACTGGCCAGCCTCGAGCCTCTCACTTTGTTCCTGGATTGACTGAGAAGGAAAGAGCTGCCCCCCTCTTTGGTCGCCTGTCGAGGGCAGGAAATCCCATTCTGTGCGTGGGGCCTTTTCTCTGAAGGGATTCCAATAGAATTGGAAACCTTTCCTTTCTCAGTCTGCAGACTCGCTTGACTCCAGTATTTTGACTTGAAATTGGAAACCTTTCCTTTCTCAGTCTGCAGACTCGCTTGACTCCAGTATTTTGACTTGATCTGGAGGCAAGTTTTATGCCTATTGCAGTTGACTGTGACGGGTCACCCTGCATGGGATGACAGAGTTCCACTTAGGAAGACAAGACCAGAAGGAGTTGGCATAGTCTGCGGAGAAAAATCGGCTCCACAGCAGGGTGTCTGGGAACTCTCTTATGTGTGCCCAGTGAGTGTCCCTGAGAATGGACTGTCCTCGGGCTGTTGAGATGCACATTCAAGCTGTGCAGAGTCTGCTTCTGGGGGATACTGGGAAGTAGGCATCACGTTCTTTCACAGAGCCATAGAACTTAGCTAATGGGCTATTCTGGGACCAGTTTTCTCTGCAGTAGGTGACCAACTGGGCTAATAGGCCAGTACTGTAGTGAAGAAATTGTGATGCTCCCTTCTAGGGGTGGCACAGCAGGGAAGGGATCTCTCAGAACAGCCACAACCAGAAACACAACCCATGATTTATAAGCCTTTGACTTTCCTAGGATTGTCTTTAAAATCTGCCACTTGGTATGTGTTTGATTTGCCCTCGTTCAAAGAGCATCTGTCTGTCCGTCTCCAGAGCTAGTTCTGTTTTAGGCTGGGTCTTGGGGGAAGAGTTGTTTTGTTATGTGTCTTCCTGTGCTGACTTAGGGGGAGGTGAGGAGTGCTGCCGTTTGAGATTCTGAAGGTGGTCAGACTGTAATGGGCAAGCCCATATTGCCCGTCCTGGAGTGAGCCCGTAGCTGAACTCCCAGACTCCTCCACCCTTGCTTGCCAACATGCCGTCAGAGTGACCCAGTAGGAAGGCGACGGCCTGTTGTCACGTCCTCAGTAGATGGAGGTAGCCGAGGTGGAAAGATGACAAAAATCGGTGATGCCTGATGGCCACAGACCTTTTGGGGGAGGAGGGTGGGTGGAAGGTGGCACTGTGTAATGCCTGGCCCTAGAGTTGAGCCCCTCGCACCTGAAGGCACAGCTATCTGTTCAAAGAGTGCTCCCCTTGTAGAAAGCGCTTGCGCTGGGGCTTCCCGTCCTTGTTCTCTGCGACCCCCTCCAGTGGTGCCTTCCCTCTCAGCTGCCCTTTGTGTTACCTAGGAGATGAGGACAAAGAGGTCCTGCTTGCACCTGAATTTCTCAGAGCCCAGCCACTGGTACGCAGGCTGCTCTGTATAGGTTTCATCCAACAAACAAGCAACCCTTGAGTCCGGCCTGTAGAATCTTGGCTTTTTTTTTTTCTTTAACCAAAGTCTGGGAGAAATTGATCCTCTTCTTTTAGGCTGAAATGTGGCCCGTGATGCTGAGGCCATATGTGAGCTGAATGATAGACAACAAAGTGAACTTCCTTTTTTCTGCCGATGGAACCGATGGGGTTCTGACCCTTGTTTGGCCTTGATTTCCTTGGAACCCAAGAAAGGTTTAGGTCAGACTCCCTTACCACTTGTGGGAATGGTCAGAAATGTTTCCCCCCTCTTTTAAATCCCTTGACTCTGCTCAGCTTTAGTTCAGTTTTTAAAATCACATGTTTGGGGCTCTGGTGGACAGTTTTTTTTTTTCCCCTCAATCTCTTCATGAAAATGGTGTGTTTAATGCTGAGAATAGCTGAAACTCTGTCTTAGGAAGATTAGAAGTGACCGAATTGTAAAGTTTCTGTTTAAACAAAAGAAGGAAAATCTCTTACAGAAAATCAGATTGTGTGGAGCTATGTGCCGGTGTGTATGTATGTGGGCGTGCACACTTGCTCCAGGCATGGTGGTGCTTCTCCCCTCTTCCCTTGAATTTAGCATGTGGATAAGATCTTCTTGGCCTTCAGTGTGTGGATGTGGAATATTTGGAGGCCTCAGTCCAAAAGAGCATCACCTTCTTTTTCATTTTCTTTTGGGTTCTTGAGGAAGGTCTTGTCTCTCTGGGCATTACCTGGTTGATGGAGGAGCTAGGACAAGTTTGGGGGAATTCCAGCTCAAACCTGGGCAGGTTGGCAATTCTTGCTGTGACTTAACACTTGCTAGGGTCTCTTTCTTCAGGTTGGAGTTGAATCAGCAGAACAGTGGTTATTGATTGGGCTGGAAACTGAGTCTAGGCAGAGAGGAGAGCTCAGCATTAGAGTTTCTAGTGTAATCCCACTGCCTGTCAGAAAGAGGGGCACGGGAAAGGATCTGAAGTTGGAATGTCCCCAGCCTATTCACTGCCCATGAGAATAAGAGGCCTCAGTTGGGACCTGGGATCAGAGTGTCTCGTGTAATTCCAGCCCCTGTCAGAGGGAGGCAGTGGGTGAGATGAGGCTGTGGGGTGTATCCCATGCCGACCCTGTGCCCATCAGACCGAAGAGGCAGTTAGGACCTGGGTTTGGGGTATCCTCTGTTCAGCACCCGCAGAGGGGAAGGGGTAGAAGGAATCTATGATTGGGACATGCCATGGGGTAGTGTGGAAAAGAGGGAGAAGGAAGGGCCCTGTGGTTGGGGTGTCTGGGGTAGGCCCAGGGCCTGTTGGAAGGAGGGGAAAGGGATGTGGAGGTGTACTGGGAAAGATTGTTTTGTGAGAGATTTAATAAAGTTTCTGTTTTCACTTATCCCGTGTAGCTGTTCAGTGACTTTTTCAGGCAGGGATAGGGAGGAATTGCTTTATTTTAGGGCCATGGATAGATACATCCTTCCATCCCTAAATATAAGCCTGTGGTTAGAGCCAGAAACAGGTCTGCCCCGAGGATGAGGGTCACTTTGAGGTTTCCAGTCCTGGGCTAACCTGGACACCTCTCCAGTACCCATCCCATTAGCCCTGTAGACGCTTTTCTCAGAGGGATCCAGCTTTGAATCTTTCTTGCCCCAGCCTCTATCATCTCTGTGTCCAAAGGATCAAGGGTGAGGCTTCTGGTTGAGGAGAATTTCACATTTCTGGCCTGAGCCAGACCCACCCTGTTGATCTCTGGCAGTTTCCGAGCTATTCGGACCACCCTTAATGGGCATCAAATTAACATGCTTTTCCCTGAAAGGATGGGTTAATTGCCCTGTGGCTCCATTCCTCCCTCACCTCACTGCTCTTATGTGTTGGCAACCAAACCCTTTAGAGTATAAACTCCTGAAGGCAAGAACTGGCTGGGCACATAGTAAGTGCTTAATAAATGCTTATTCATTCCCTCTGTACTTTTCTGGCCCTAATTCCTGGACATTTCTGTCGAGTCTTAAGTTCTCCATGTGCCCAGCAATGACTGCAGTATTGAAAGAGACTCGATTGGGGGTAGGTGTCTGAGTGGAGGTGCCTTAGGGCTCTGCCTTTCCAGACCTTTCTAAGAGCCATCCATCTTCATTGATGTTTGCTCCTGCCTATGGGCCAGTAGAGAGTGTAAGGCGGGCTTGGCTTTGCCCTCCCCCATCGCCCTCAAGGCTCCCTGGTTGTGTGGCTGACTTTGCAAGCAGTTCCTTTCCAAAGTAAAAAGGGGACATGGCACACCAAAAGCCCCGTGACTCCCTGGTGACCAGGACCCTGAATGTTGTGTAGCATCCGAGAGAAAGCATGTCTTTGGTCCTGCTTGCATTTCCAAGAAAGGCTGGGTGGTTCAACCGGAAATTGGAAACTAGCTCTACCACAGGGCAACGTAATTGCTGAAAGCCTTTGCCCCAAGGGATTGGAATTTTTAAATAACCCATTAAGGACAATCAGTAGTTATTAGCCTCTCCTGTTGTCCCTGGACTGAGACCCGAAGGAAGGAGGTAGGATGGCCCAGAGTGAATGAACTGAGCTGTCCTGGGGCTGGAGGCTTCCTCCAGTCTGTGACCGAAAGAATATGGCTTTGTGCTCATCCAGCACCATGCTTCCTGGGGCTCCAGACACTGCCCAGACTTAACCCTGTTGCCCCAGCCTTGTTGGGAAGCTTGGATGCACGTCTCAGGCCTCCTCCTTTGTCCCCTGGTGTTTGTACTGAGGCTGTTGGCACTTGATTAGTCCCTGGTCTTCCTTGATTTTCCCAGTGCTGGCACATAGGAGGCACTTGATTAATGCTGATTGATTGATTGATTATTGTGGCAAAGGAACTGGAAGGAGATCCTGATGTCCGGCTCTCGGTGTGTGGCTGGAAGGGAGCAGTGGGCTAGTGGGAGCTAGTGGGCTTATTTGGACTGGTTGTGAACAATCACATTGTTGGAATTCAGAGTGGTGGTGGCGTTGTGTGTGTGTGTGTGTGTCTGTCTATCTGTGTCTGTCCATGCGTCCTTTCTTCACCTCCCACATCACAAGCGCTCCACCCCAATGTGCCCTCTCCTGGAGAATCCAGCCTTGCCATTCTCTGATTCTTGCTCTCCCATTCCATTAAGCGGGCTGGGTGGGGCTCCTGCCAGGCCCATCTACTGCCCCTGCTTGGGCTGCAGGAGCCCAAATCACCTTCCAGCCAGAGCCCAGGTCCAACCCGAACAACAGAATGCTCATACCTCGGAGGCCTCCCTCCCTCCCCACCCCTTCTTTTACAGCTGCAGAAACTGAGCTTCCAGAACT